CTGATCTGTTTCATGTTGCTGCTGATCTGTTTCATGTTGCTGCTGATTTGTTTCATGTTGCTGCTGAACTGTTTCATGTTGCTGCTGATTCGTTTCATGTTGCTGCTGATCCGTTTCATGTTGCTGCTGAACTGTTTCATGTTGCTGCTGATCCGTTTCATGTTGCTGCTGATCTGTTTCATGTTGCTGCTGATCTGTTTCATGTTGCTGCTGATCTGTTTCATGTTGCTGTGTTCATTCATCTGCTCACTCAGACTCATGTTCGTGCTGCTGTTCAGCATTTAGTTTTCATGCTGTTAGTGCTTACTGTGTTTTTAGTTAACGTTTTTTTTTGGTTCATGTCTTAGATCTTATTATTGTTTTTCTTTTTACATTTTATGCTTTTGTTGGATGTAACTGGGACTCTGTGTGCACAGTGTCATTCCACCACATGTACCACATGTGGTGGAATGACAAAGAAAGAAGCTTGAATCCTTGAAATCACCACAAAACGTGTATTACAGTAAACTTATGACATCTGTGGAGGTCAAGCGCCATCAGGCATCAGCTGGTAGCAGCTGCAGTTATCCAGACTTATTTGTCAAAGTTGATCTTTTCTGTGTTTAAAACCTGACGGGCTGCTCGGTCACTTTTCCCCCTTTTTTTTACCGTCAACAAAAATCCTTCGTCCTGTTAATCACATTTCATTTTCAGCCCAGAAACAGAGCGGTGCTCGTTTCCTTCTGTTAATTTCCAACATAATCCAGAATCATCCTGCAGTACCGGCAGCCGAAAGGAAAGCCAACATCTGGTGGCAGCACTGTGCTGTGAGCACAGAAATAATTGTGTTATTTTCTTGTCCCCTGAGACAAAGCAGATTAAGGCCGTTTTTTTCAGCTGCTATTGTGATTGTTGTACAGTTGGACAAGTTGGCCCGTCGGACAACTGAAAAAATAACACAGCAGGACATTGATTGTGATATGTTGACACAGTAAGTAAGACTAAAAACACGCTCACGGTTGGCAGTTAATCAGGTACAAGTAGCTGAAACATCAGTTTGAGGAGCTGTCAAGATGCAGAGCATTACAGAGAATTCATCCCTTTTTCACACTTACACTTACAAGAGGTGCGCCCATGTCCCGCCTCGCTCAAGGGTTTGAACAGTACCGGTAAATGTTTGCAGGTTTTTTTTATTAGATGAGGTTTTTCTGGATGGGAATTGAACAGAGAATGCAACTAACCTAAATGTTTTTGGTGCAGTCACGTTCACTGTGGAGAAGAACAGAGTGAGACCAGTTTTATATTTTTATTTTGCTTGTTCGAGGCGATGCAGAGTGATCAGGGCAAGTGGAGGAAGCCATTTTATCCATGGCCAGGAGCAGTGGCGTAGCCAGGGGGTGGCCAAGGGTGGTCTTGGCCACCTTAGATTAATCTTCGCCCACCCCAGTCATTTGAGAATACTATACTTTTAAGTAAAATAAATACTAGAAAACATACTTTCCTCGATTGGGGTGGCCGATTTGCACGTATATTGGCAGTGGCCATTTTGGATTTTGACGTGGCAACCCAGTTTTTGAAAGTGGCCTTTCTTATGCCTACATCCACCCACACACCAAACTGTAAGACAGCACCTCACTTATTGTTCATCTTATCGAGATTACAAGACGCACGAATGGACAAAGCATATTTCCACACCACCCTCTTTGCTCAGTGACGGGGGACAAAAAAGGAGTGAACAAAATAATAAAAGTCAATGTTCGGTTTTACTTATTCATAGAATTAACAACCCAAGTAATTTTCAAATAATTCTAATTAACACAATTCAGCTCAATTAAATCTTAATAAATGTAGCAAACACTGTCAGTTGGTAATAATAAATGGATAATTTGTTAATAAAGCTCAACTACAAGCTGAAGTTAACATGTTGACACATTTAATTATGAACATGTTTTTATTTAAATGGAAATAAAGTTGAATCTAAACGCAATATATTTTGTATTCCTTGATAATTTCATATCAACCTCCACTTTTTATGCCAAAGACTGTTAGCTCAAAGTAAGTGTTCCGAATGACTCTCAGCTACTACCGGCCCAAGCTGCAGCTCCGTATCTGCACAGCTGACTGTGCTATAGTCCTTCACGTGTTTGCTGAGGCCAGTTAGTTGCGGTGGCCATCTTGAATTGGACTTACACCGGTAGTCAGCTATAGACGATCATCTAACGATTACTTTCTGAGTTTAATTAAAAAGCATCCGGTGGTTTATGAGATATTTGGAACCGACAAGTTACATGATCATCCACCTTTAATGGCAGTTTGGGATGATACAAATAAGAAATTTAAAGGTTGGTTTGATATTTTTTATTTTATTTTGTTTGTTTTTTCTTGCGTATTCAACTCATTATAAGTAAATTTTAAAAGTATTTACAAAGAAAAACATATGTAATGTCATATTTTATGTGGTACAAAACTAGTGTTCACTCCTCAAGCATTGTCAGGACATTAATAACATACAAAATACATAGGCTCTTACTTTGCAAGGTCATTTACAAGGTCACAATATTCAACATTTAGAAAAAGATTTTTTTCAGAAAGTCCCAAGTTTCCTCTTTTTCTTTTAAGAGTATCTGTTCAGCTGCCCTATAATAAAGCACGCGCATTAACCTAATGATGTAACTGAAGAGCGGCCCGACTCGTTTCAAAATAGCCGTGTTTACAGGCCTTTGAATTAACGCAAAGCCCATAACTGTTTGGCAGTGTATCATCAATTGTCGGCCTAAATAACGGGCTTGCCAGCATGTGGGTATAAATACATAACAGCAACGTGATTTATTGTTCGGTCAAAGTGCTCACTTTGTTATTTTCCCTCCAAGTCCTGATTGCTGCATCCTGAAGGCTATTTGGGTTGGGAAATGGTTGACTCGACAATTAAGGCGTTTGTGTTCACTGCTGGACCACCAGCTGGCGCTTCATTCACCAGGAGGGAGGGAGACCTTTAACGCACCAGAAGTGTGTGTGTGTGCGTGTGTGTGTGACGGGACCACAGCGTTGGGAGCCCCACGGAGGGAGCGAGCAGAGAAAGAAAAAAGACGGGACACTTCTTTTTGGAGTTGGAAGTGGATGGGCGTTAACAGAACTTTTTGGGTAACTAAAACCATGCCTGTAGGGAAAAAAGTCTTCCAAAGATAACCACGGAGGAGACCTGCTTCTTTATTTCTGTAGGAGAGGGGGGTGGGGGGGGTCTCTTGGCTTGTCGAGAGGAAAATAATAGACAAAGGTTGTTTTGGAAGGGAACTTCGATCCGTCATTCTGTCAAGATGTTAGACAGAGCTGGTCTTTTACTGCTGGATAAGTACAGGATTCCACATCACCATAAAGAAGCCACAACAAACTGCCTAATTGGTCAAAATAAAGTTGGCGAACAAACACACGGAGCTCAGGCAGTATAAAGTTAGGAGGTCTAAACCACGTTACCATGTGAGGTACACAAAAACCGAAACTAATCAGTCACCAAACCCTCACAAGCTCCGAACAGAAACAAACGACCTCTCTGACTGGAAACGAGGAGCAAACATGAAATAATTTACAAAATACAGAAACGACTGGGACAAAGACGTACCAGTTTGCTTTCAAACAGCTGGTGGTAAGTCCACAGCACCATGGTGAAATGTAAGGCCACATACACTCGTGAAGACAGAGACCAGCTGGGATCATGAGGCACTTCCTTTCCGGTTACCTGCACATGCAAAATAAACGTGGTTAATTACCCAAACCCAGTTCCCTGTCACTAATTTGTTTTACATGAAAGCTGTACACCTCTGGCCAGTGCAAACACACGTGCTTGTGTATTTTCTGCTGTAAAAGACCATCAGAGCCAAAAGTCGGAGAGGTAAAGAGTTCGCTCAACACCAGACGTTATAAACGGTCTGAGGTTGGATTGTACACCTGGATTATTGAGCACGGACTTTTTTGGTCTGAGGTGAGTTTTGTGACGCGCTGCGTAAACCAGTCGAAGGGAGCCTCTAGAAAATGGGTCAGGTGGCCGTCATGAGATGAACAAGGACAGCAACAACTTTCAAATTGTCTTACAGGGTGAAAATGTCTAATAAATTTAAAGTCATGCTAACCAGAGTTAGCTGTACTTCAACTACAGCGAGACTTCAGTATTTTATGACCTATAATCCTTAATTTAGAGCAAGCTCAGAAATTACTCCCCGTACAGCATAAACTGGCCTGGACAGGATTTTCAAACCAGTTAAACCAAAATGTTTTTCCCCCGACCAAGAAAATCATTGGTCATTGGATATTTGTTCATCTCTTTCCAAACATTTTCTCCAATGTCTTCAGATGCGTTACATGAAAATGTATTTCTCTACGTTCATTCGAGACCTCCATGTGGTTTTTCATGTCCCACAGTTCCAACACCAACTTTGAGAACCGCTGTCCTACGTATTGCTCGTTGTCACAGATTCTGTTCAGAACTTTCATGGACTGAACTTCTCGGTGCAGCCAGGGGGTGGAGGGAGTCCAGTTCGGTGGTCTCATGATTCATCTCTGGTCTTTGCAGATGATGTGGTCCTGTTGGCGTCATCGTGCCGTGATCTTCAGCTCTCACTGGAGCAGTTCACAGCTGAGTGTGAAGCGGCTGGGATGAGAACCAGCACCTCCAGATCTGAGGCCATGGTCCTCAGTCAGAAAAGGGTGGATTGTTCTCTTCAGGTCCAGGGTGAGGTTCTGCCTCAAGTGGAGGAGTTCAAGTATCTCTGGGTTTTGTTCATGAGTGAGGGAAGAACGGAGCGTGAGATTGACAGACGGATTGGTGCAGCTTCTGCAGTATTGTGGACTCTGTACTGGTCCATTGTGGTGAAGAGGGAACTGAGCTGTAAGACAAAGCTCTCTGTTTACTGGTCGGTCTACGTTCCTCCCCTCACCTCTGGTCATGAACTCTGGTAGTGACTGAAAGAATGAGATCGTGGATCCAGGAGGTAGAAATGAGTTTCCTCTGCAGGGTAGCTGGACTCTCCCTTAGAGACAGGATGAGAAGTTCAGTTATCAGGAGAGACTCAGAGTAGAACCACTGCTCCTCCACATCGAGGAGCCAGTTCAGGTGGTTCAGGCAGCTGGTAAGGATGCTCCCTGGGCGCCTCCCTAGGGAGGTGCTCTGGGCATGTCCAACTGGGAGGAGACCCAGGACAGCCCAGCCTGTTTCAGTCTTTGGTTCTGAAGAATCAACCACCACATGAGGGTTCTCCACACTTCCCATCCTCAAACCCACTGCTCTGCTTATACAGCTGAAATACAGTCAGCCTCCTTCACTCCAGTTATGTTTCTTTTCTCAAACATCACCATCAAGCAGCCCTTCGACCAAATCATCTCGGTGAAATTTTAGTTTTGTCCGAGAGTAAAATTCCTGCGCTGGCTTTAAGTGGCCGAATTGGCTGCAAAGACGAAAAAGGGACGTTCTTCTCTGTTGTAGAACTGAAGCTGTGACACCAAAGGCTTCATTTCAAAGCAAACCACTGAAGCATTCAGCTGGAACCTTTGGCTTTTATCTGCTCAAACACATTCACACTTTACTGCACGCGGTTTTAGTCCAGCAAACGATACTTGAAGTCAGTAAAACTAAACTTATTATGATGCCTCAACAAAGGCCTCGCAGCTTTTATTTCATGTGGCAGTTTCTTGTAAAACTTGCAAAATATATGAATCCTTGAAGAAGGAATGCTCTGAGTCATTCAGGACTGTGTTTTTGTGTCAGTATAATTTGCAACAGTCTTCTGCTAACCTTAGGATTGTCGACGTAGTCACCAAGCCGAGCTTTCCCAGGTTTCCAACTAGGACCTTTGATGAAAGTTGACAATTTGTCACCGATAGTTTTGTACGTGTCGGCTCTCTTCCATAAATCTACATAGTAGTGCAACTACGAGAGACAGAAAAAACACAAGTCAGATAAATAAACAATCAAATCAGATTGAAAGTGATGAATGTTACGCAGGCAATAGATGGAATAATTCATCTTGAGTGGCAGCGTTTCTGCCTTCATTAGACAGAGCATTGCTCATGCTGCGCCCTGCCAACCATGAGGGCAGCAGAAGTAATTCTAACGTTCACCAGGTATTTTACTTTATTGGCCTCTTTCACCTCAGCTGGCCAGTTTGTTTGGAGTAGAGTAATAATGTTATGGTTACAAAATGGCTCCTTAGCCAGCGGAGGAATCACGAGCTCTAACCATCTATAAAGGTGCTCGTGAGGAGACGAAGGTTCGACTGATAACAGCAGTGAAGCACAGCTGACCTGAACATAGAGGATTTCAAACGTGTTGATGGGGAACACGAGGCCATATACGACTTTATCTGTCTCTGAAGCAAAGGTACCTGGAAAAACATGCGAAACAAAATCAGATTATTGGGTCAAAGCAGCCAATCGGAAACAATGACACTGAAAAGAATAAAAATAAACGTGACAAGCAAAAACTTTGTTTGCTCTACGTTTGGTCTCAAGTGACATCGCTTAACAAAAATATCAAATTAGACAAATTTACTAAAAAAAAAAGGGATGAAAGCGCCTAAAACTCTGTGCAGTAATAAACAAGGTATTTCAGAATTGCTCACTTATTTGGGACGAGCTGCGCCTGAACAGAAACTTAAGAATCAGTTCGTACAAAAATGGAGAAGTGAGTTACATCAGATTGATGAGGAGTCTCAAAAATCAAGTGTGAACAGAACTGACTGAAAAAAATCCAGGGGCAAAAACAAAGAATTTCTCTTAAGTCAGCGATTGTCATTTGTGCGATAGGTCTCGTGTTGAGGATCGAGTTAGTTTCAGTGCAGGAACACAGAAATGCTGAAGAGGAAAAACATTTGCCAAAGTATTATGTTAACCCCCCCGGTGCATAAACGGATCTTCATGATGCAGTCTGAAAATGTGGCAGTGATTTGTGGACTGGAAACTTTGTGCAGATTGTGTTGAATTTATTTATTTGCTTTTATTGTGCAACATCTGCTTGACCTGATTGTTTCCTGTGCTCCACATCGTTACCTGGACACGAGTGTAACAGTAAAGAGCTCCAGGTATTTTATGGAAACGTGCAAAGAATGTTCTGTTAATACAAGCACCATTTGTTTTTATTTCAATCTCAGCTCTATTTTTTTCCTTTCATTGAACCTTTATTTCTACAGGTTGATCCCACTGAGCTTCTGGGACTCATTAACAAGGGAGACCTGATTTTAACAAACAGTGATGACAACAGTGGATAAGAACTGGAATAGATAACGCAACTTTTAATTTCCATTTAATAAGAATTGACACGGTTAAAACAAACTTTAAAAGAGATTTTAAAGGTACACATACTTGCAAAATATTATTATAATTATATTATATAATCATTGCTATTGTACTTTATGTAACAGATAAAGGAGAAAAAGAAGCTTTTGCACTTAGTAATGATCTAATTTAACAATTATCACGGACCTGTTTAAATGATTTAAATCCATGCAGAGAACAATAATGAGAGTTCGTGGGAGAGATCATATCTCTTAGTTTCTCTCCATTGGCTCCCTGTCAAGTCCAGAATTGAATTCAAAATATTACAAAGCCCTCAACAACCTAGCTCCAGATCTTATTGTTCCATATTTTCCTAACAGAGCACTTCACTCTCAGACTGCAGGTTTACTTGTGGTTCCTAGAGTTTACAAAAGCAGAATGGGAGGAAGATCTTTCAGTTCTCAGGCTCCTCTCTTGTGGAACCAACTTCCAGTTTCCGTCCATGAGGCTGACACATTGTCCAGTTTAAGACTGGGATTAAGACGTTCCTTTTCATAAATCCTATAGTTAGGGTTGACTTGTTATGCTGCTATAGGCTTAGACTACTGGAGGACAAACTGACCTCATATCGTCAAATGAATCATTTGTAACTGATTCTACCTTAACATGTTTTTTATCGTTCCTCCTAGTGAGGGACGTCGCCTCATCCTGGACCTGCCATTGTTTCCACTGTTTCTACTTCCTGTCCTCTCAGACCCAGCCGGATGAAGCAGATGACCCCTGGTCCTGAGCCTGGTTCTGCCGGAGGTTTCTTCCTGTTAAAGGGAGTTTTTCTTTCCACTGTCTCCTCTGTTCTTGCTCAGGATGAGAGCCTGTGATGAAGTGAAGATTCAACACAATCTGCTGCTTCATTAGATCAACTTTACGAATTGTTGTTTATAACGTCTGTGAATGTTTCTGTTCAGTGCCTGAGACAACGTTTGCGACTTGGAGCTGCATAAATAAACTGAGTTGGATTCTTACCAAATAATCTGTCCCAGATGATGAGAATTCCTCCGTAGTTCTTGTCGAGGCAGTAAATGTTTCTCCCTGTTGGAATTACACTTTGTGAGGTTCCCACAAACAGTAAAGGTTCAGGAACTGATAGATGCTAAAGTTGTTAAATGTGCCCGAGTAGAACTAACTGGATTAAATAAAACTAAAAATAACCTTAACAAGCACCAAATATTTATTAACATTTCAGTTTTTATTATACGTTTGTTCACCCCAATAACTAAATGTATTTACGTGCTAAAATGAACCTTGTCTCACCGTGATGGACTCTGTGATGTTTAGGAGTGTTGAAGACCCACTCCAGAGGTCCAAGGTCTCTGATTAACTAAAAGAAAAACAATTTAAAGTACAATTTACTGTAATTAAAGTACAATACTACTGTTTTTCACCAAACTGTGAAGTAAAAACTGTTCCTGCAGTCAGATTTATAATTGTTCTGCCTAAACCTTGAGCTAAGAGTCCTTCTGTGCATGCACAGAATTTGAGGGAAATTATTCTTTCACTTTTAGATCGCTGAGAAACAATCGTTTTAAGAATCCAGAACAGCAGAACGCCAAACACAACAGTGGGACTACAATATCTTTGTTGGCGATTTTGTTTAATTCCATGAAATACCCTGGAGAGTAATATTTGTCAACTTGATTCAACAGACTGTAAGTCAACGTGGTTCCTTCTTAAAAAAACTGAAGTAAATGCAAATAAGAATTATTGTACTCGAACTGGCCAAGAACTTCAGCGCTGCACTCGTTTCACCATCGCGCCGTAATAGAGTGAAAAATAAATAGAGGCAATTTAATAAATGTTACCTTCTTGTTTTATGTTAAATGTTAAAAATGCTTTATCAAAAAAATGTGATGGATCAAAAACAAAACAATAAAGAACAGAAAGGCAACTTTTCAGGAAACAAAGTTTTTCTTCTCAGAGTTGTATTTGTTCGAGTCCGCCAACGGAACTGATTTTTAAAGTTTGTTGACGTTGATGTGTTAGTTGTTGTAAAAGAAAAAGTTGTATTTTCATAAATCTGCTCCATAGAAGAAGAAATACAGCTCTGATCTAAAGATGATGCAGAAAAACTGGTCCATGCATTTGTCACGTCTAGACTGGACTATTGCAATGGTTTATTATCTGGGTGTCCAAATACTTCTTTAAAACGTCTTCAGTTGATCCAAAATGCTGCTGCCAGAGTCTTAACTGGAGTTACTGGGAGAGATCATCTCTCTCCAGTTTTAGCTTCTCTCCATTGGCTCCCTGTCAAATCCAGAATAGAATTCAAAATATCACTTCTAACCTACAAAGCTCTCAACAACCTAGCTCCATCTTATATTGGATATCTTGTTGTTCCATATTTTCCTAACAGAGCACTTCACTCTCAGACTGCAGGTTTACTTGTGGTTCCTATAGTTTCCAAGAGCAGAATGGGAGGAAGATCTTCCAGTTCTCAGGCTCCTCTCTTGTGGAACCAACTTCCAGTTTCTGTCCGTGAGGCTGACACATTGTCCAGTTTTAAGACTGGACCATAGACTTTCTTAATCCTATAGTTAGGGTTGGCTTGGGTTTCTTGAGTTATACCTATGCAATGCTGCTATAGGTTTAGACTGCTGGAGGACAAAATGACCACATGTCCTCTCTCTGCTGCTGTTTTTACTGGCTCTACTCTACCTGTTTGTAATTATTTCTATCTTAACATGTTTTTTTTTTGTATTTCCTCCTATAGAAACCACACCTGGACAATAGAAACCACACCTGGACAATAGAAACCACACCTGTACTATAGAAACAACACCTGGACTATAGTAAGTACACCTGGGCTATAGAAAGTACACCTGGACCTGCCATTCCGTGTTTGTTTTTACTTCCTGTCCTCTCAAACCCAGTCGGTCGAGGCAGATGAACGCTCGTCCTGAGCCTGGTTCTACTGGACGTTTCTTCCTGTTAAAAAGAGTTTTTCTTTCCACTGTCTCCTTTGTGCTCAGGATTGGAGACTGTGATGAACATTCATCACAATCTGCTGCTTCCTTAGATAAATTACTTTTACTAATTGATTTTTTTATATACACACACCGGTATGAATGTTTCTGTTCAGTGCCCTTAGACGACTTCTGTTGTGACCTGGACCTTTATAAATAAACTGAATTATACAGAATCTTGCATGATTTTCATAAAATTAGAACGTTACGACAACTCTGCTCACTAAATGAAATGAACTGAATCGGACTGTATTGGATTATCATTGAACAGAAATAATTGTAACTGGACTGGAATTTGAATTTGTTTTCAACAAAATGAGATTGAATATGCACTCATTTATGGTTCGGACACGCCAGTTCATAATTGGAACGATATAATTAAAGGTAATATAGCTGAGTGTGAAAGTGTGGAGAGGAATGGAGTACCCCCTTCCAATGGCGGTTACAGAATAAACACATCTATTCTAATCTCATCCAGTTGGGGCTTAATGCAAACAATCAGGTACCTGAACGCATCCTGAGCATGATGGGATCAAATTTTTATTTTCTGTTGCACAAGTTATGTTCAACTTCTGTAGTTTAGAGCAGAATCCACGTTTTGCTTTTGGTCTCAACTCATATTTCGATGGTTCCCATCAACATGGAGAAATGTGCACGGCTGGACAGCGTTTCTGTGATTCATTTCCATGTAATGACGAGTATCTGGCAGCAGAGCGTGAGAGCTTCATCTTGAATGAAGGGTCTCCACCACGTTACATACAGCTCTGAAGCTGCAGCCAATAGTGTGTCAGTCAATTACATGACATCAAAAAAGGCCTATAAAACAAGCATAAATTACATCCTCTCAGAAAATTCTGACTATTACGACTGCTTTCACTAATAGTGCACTAAAAGATGGAGGGTGTTCCAAATCCATTCATTCCCTCTAACGATGGCGGGGACTGTAGAAGTGATATTCCCAGACAGTTTAAAGGGAGACCGAGTGGTTCTGCTTCTGTTTGGAATCTTTCATAAAGCCTCATTATTTTTTATTGAATACAGGTTCTGCTGCAACACTGAGTCTGCACAATCTGACATAACATGCAAGTTACCACGGGTGTAGGCGACAGATTACTTTAAAAGACTTCATTTTATTTGTTGGATTTAAAATCTGCATAGTAACCATTAAAGGACAGATCCATAAATGTATTGCTGCATCTTGGGTGATTAATGGCATTAACGTTTTAGAGTATTTATACCTCCCATTTGTTTAAACTATTCTGTTTAAACACTGAAAAATTAGTTGGTTTTACTACTTAGTTTGATTAAATTCAAGTGTAAGGGTAATTAATTTTAAGTCTTTTACTGGAATTTTATGTTCAAGTAAGACATAAAAAATGGGGTTACTGTGCACTTTAAAGAAGGCTTAGGTCATCTTGATTTTACACAAGATTTTTTATGAAGAATACTTAAAATGTAATATTTAAAACAGCAGCTATTACTGGTTTAAAGAAAATTACAAACCTAATTTCTATTCAGCAAACTAAAGATATTTATTATTTGAAACCTTTGAAACAAATGCTCCAGTAAGTGGCACATTTGTAAAAATACAGAATTATTTTCTTGCATGTCTTACTTGGTGCATGTGTTGCCAGATTAAAGAGTCAATAGCATGTGGACTAAGGGTTACCTCGGTGTGAATCCAGAACTGATAGAGCAGATTTAACTGTATGTGAACGGCAAAGATGGATGGAGGAACAACCAGAGCTATAGGAAGGTAGAAAACCTGAAAATCAAAACAAGAACAGAATCAGAAGGTCTTGTAAACTTTTCACAATATAAGTTTTCATAGTTTGAACACCAACGAAGAGAAAAAAACTCAGAATCGATTTTTATTTTAGGGTAAAACCTCAGAAAGTTGATTAAATTTACCAATATTTTCTCAAGACAATACATTTCCAGTAGTTCAGTCATTAAACACAAAGACTTTGTATCACCAGGGACCAGTAGTGACTGACAACTTTTTAATCAAGTTTTATATGTACAGTTGTTTTACTGCCTTTAGTCTCTTACTCGTCTCAGAACAGGGAACAGGTGGAAGAGAACTTGGAGAGGTGGAGGGATGCACGTGAAAGAAGAGGAATGAAAGTCAGCCGTAGTAAGACGGAGTCCATGTGAGTGAATGAGAGGGAGGAGGTGGAACAGTGAGGCTACAAGGAGCAGAGGTCACAAAGGTGCAGGACTTCAAAGACTTGGGGTCCACTGTCCAGGAACATGGGGAGTGTAGTAAAGAGGTGAAGAAGAGAGTCCAGGCAGGATGGAGTGATGGAGAAAAGTTTCAGGAGTGATTTGAGACAAAAGGGTGTCGGCAAAGGTCAAAGGAAAAGTTTACAAGACAGTGGTGAGACCAGCTATGTTGTATGGTCTGGAGACAGAGACATGGACAAAAAGACAGGAGACAGAACTGGAAGTGTCAGAAATGAAGATGTTGAGGTTCTTCTTAGGAGAGACAAGGATGGAGAAGATCAGGAATGAGATCATCAGAGGTACAGCACAGGTTGAACAACTGGGAGATGAAGTTAGAGAGGACACACTGAGATGGTTTGGACATGTCCAGAGGAGGGACAGTGGTTTGGACATGTCCAT